GCTCCAAGGCAAAATAAGTTGTTTCCTCCTGTGTTTCCAGTGCACTTCATTCAAACTTTATTCACTGTATTAAAAGTAATTGGTTTGAAAGCTTTACCATCCTGCTGGTTCCTTCATTAATGAGTTGTATAAATCTTTGGCATGTGCTCACTTAAAAAAGTAAGTGATGGTTTTTTCTGAGATAGTTTTTTCTACTGGTGTGTGCACTTCTCAAGATGGCAAGGACAGTACCTTATCTATCTCTGTCTTCAGCAACAATGATTATGCCTGCCATATAACAGGGGTTGTTTGTTGAATGATGATGCCCCAAACCCAGGGCAGACAGCCTCTCTCTAACTTAAGATAAATAGATGATTCAGGTTTGTGAGCCAAAAGTATAAAACCAAACAGGCTCAGAACAGGTTAGAACTGTGAAGATCTCTTTGTTCTGAGATAAGAGATTCAGAAAAAACACACTCTACTCCCCAGTGCCAGATGAGATTCACTAGTGTCTATCTGTGTGCTGGGTGTAGTCACCCAGTGATCCAGGGAGATGGTAACCTTAGTGGTAGAAGGCAAGTAATAGAATTTCTTAACATCCTGTCTGTTTATGCAAAGCCAGACAAGTAAACAGAATCATAAAGGTGTCTCAGATAATGTCATGGTTAAGTTGCACTCAAACATTCTCATATTCCATTTGAGTTGAGTTTGATGCAGCATTCTGACCAATGTCATTTCTACCAGCTGAGACTGCCCCAAATCTGCCCACTTTCAAGAGCCTGAGTATAGAGAATGCTGCTCAGAAAAGTTCATTTGGCAGAAGGCAGAGTAAACACAGGCTCTGCTCATTAAAGATCAGGCGCAAGTACGCAAAACCAAGTTCTTTTTTTTTTTTTTGAGACGAAGTCTTGCTCTGTCACCCAGGCTGGAGTGCAATGGCACAATCTCGGCTTACTGCAACCTCCACCTCCCAGGTTCAAGAGATTCTCTTGCCTCAGCTTCCTGAGTAGCTGCGATTACAGATATGTGTCACCACACCTGGCTAATTGTTGTATTTTTAATAGAGATCAGGTTTCACCATGTTAGCCAGGCTGGTCTAAAACTCCCGACCTCAGGTGATTCGCCCGCCTTGGCCTCCCCAAGTGTTGGGATTACAGGCGTGAGCCACCGCGTCTGGCAAAACCAGGTTCTTTTGGAACTTATTTATCACATCTTGGTTGCTCTGCTTCTAGTAGGAAAAAAATATTGTTACTGATAAATAATTATTCTCTGTCATTTTCATGGAAGTGAGTAAACCCAGAAACACAGAAAAGCGGGGGGGAAACAAGTGAACAGCTTCTTGGAAGTTTAAATGAACTGTATTCCGTGGCCACATCAAGCTCTACTCTGATTTATAGCAATCAAGCCTCAAAAAAAAAAAAAAAGACAACAATAATTCCAATCCACATGGCTCTTGTATAAAGGCATCTATTTGGCTTTTAATACAAAAGGACTTAGAGAAATACAGAAAGAAAATATCATACAAGCCAGTCTCACAAAAAAAAAAAAAAAAAAAAAAAAATCCCAACCAACAAATTTGTCACATTGGGCCTGCATTAGAAAACAGGAAAAAAGAAAAAGAAAAAAAATAAAACAGTCCCTGAAATCTGGCAGGTGGTTTTTAGAGGCCATGGGGAGCTTGGGGAGCTTGCCTTAGTCATCCTGGTGAAATCGGACAGAAGTGGTTTTTGGAATATGGCCACCGCCTCCTGTTTCTTGCTAGCAATGGTCATCTGAAGGGAGGGTGCTAGCCTGGGCATCCAACATTTGATGTCAGTTATGCAGTCTGAGGTCTCAAAGACAAGCGGCCTTGGAGTCTTCCATTCCATATCTTCACTGAATCTCTCCCATATACAGTCTCTTGTCACTCGATGCTGAGATAACTGAGGTAAAAAGAACAGAGAAGATACCTAGAAATAATGAAGGCTCCAGGAGACTTGGTGCCCAATTTTGGTATAAAAGAGCAGTTGGACTTAGCTTAAATTCCCCTCCTAAACACCATTCACAGGAAATTGTAGCCTGGTTTTTCAATCTAAATCCTCTAATATCATGAGGATGACTGTACTATGGGAAATACATTATCAGACACTAAATACTGATGTCTCTTGTCAGTCAAACCCCAAGAGAAAGACTTTCCCAATTATTGTAGAAAAGAGGAATCTATGGCTGTGCCAGTCATTTTGTAAATGTGCTTCTGCTTGTTATACTTAGTCCTGGAGAAAGTTACAGTTTCTCCGTTACTTCAGGCTGAAATATTTGGTTTAGCCAGCCACAAAATTTTAAGCTGAAATGTATATCCAATTTTTTTTTTTTTTTTTTTTGAGACGGAGTCTCGCTCTGTCGCCCAGGCTGGAGTGCAGTGGCACGATCTTGGCTCACTGCAAGTGCCGCCTCCCGGCTTCATGCCATTCTCCTGCCTCAGCTTCCCAAGTAGCTGGGACTACAGGCGCCTGCCACCTCGCCCCGCTAGTTTTGTATTTTTAGTAGAGAACGGGGTTTCACCGTGTTAACAGGAGATGTCTCCGATCTCCTGACCTCGTGATCCACCCGTCTCGGCCTCCAAGGTGCTGGATTACAGGCTTGAGGCCACCCGCGGCTCGGCCTATATCCAAATATTAAGAAGATCATTCCTGGGTTGGGCATGGTGGCTCACACCTGTAATCCCAGCACTTTGGGAGGCCGAGGCAGGCGGATCCACCGAGGGTCAGGAGTTTGAGACCAAGCCTGGCAAACATGGGTGAAACCTCGTCTTCTACTAAAAACAAATTAGGCAGTGTGAATGGGGTGCCTGTAGTCCCAGCTACTTGGGAGGCTAAGGCAGGAGAATCGCTTGAACTTCGGAAGGCAGAGGTTGCATGGAGCCGAGATCTTGCCACTGCATTCTAGCCTGGGCAATAAGAAGTGAGACTCCGTCTTTAAAAAAAAGAAAAAAAAAAGTATCGTTTTTATCCAAACACATCATTGAAACAGACTTGATGGAAGTAAATAAAAAAAAAAAATTAGACTTACCAACTTCCTTTTAAACAGAGAAAAATAGAGCCTTGCTCTTACCCCTTCCCCTTATGAGTGGTGAGAGTGTCATTGATACCACATAAAGACTGTTTGCAGCTGGGCACAGTGGCTCACGCCTGTAATCCCAGCCTTTGGGAGGCTGAGGTGGGTGGATACTTGAGGTCAGGAGTTCGTGCAGCCTGACCAATATGGTGAAACCCTGTCTCTACTAAAATAAAAAAAAAAAAAGACAAAAAAACAATTAGGGCATGGTGGGTGGTGCCTGTAATGCCCAGCTACTTGGAGCGCTGAGGCAGAGAAACGACGCTTGAACCCAGGAGGCAGAGGTTGCGGTGAGCTGAGATTGCACCATTGCTCCAACCTGGGCAAAACAGCGAGACTCTGTCTCAAAAAAAAAAAAAAAAACCACACAAAAAAACAAAAAAACCCACACAAAACACCAAAGGCTGTTTGCGTGGAAATTCGCATAAAACAGATACCCACTTTTGCCTCTGTATTCCCAGGATCCCTACGGGGAGATTTCCAGTTTCCCTTTCCCCCTTGTTGGGAAAGACTTACTGATGGGCTCGTCAGGGTGGAAAGCAACTTCATTGATGGAGCCAGCATGGCCGGGCAGCTTATATAATATTCTCCTGCTTGTGGTATCCCACACATACACAAACCTGTAAGGTATCATGAAAAGCAAGGGTAAGGCCTCCTAGAGCTGGGAGTAAGGCAGAGGCATGGCTTTTTAAAGGAAATGGAAGCAATAATTATTTACTTACCTTACATTTACTGAACCGTGTTCTGGCTTTTAGAAACTAGGAATACAGAGTTTGAATAAGACATGAACTCAGCTCTTGAGCAATGGGGTGGAGAAATAAGAATAACTAAAAATATAAGCATTATTGGCATGTTTGAATACAAGCTTCTGAAATGGGAAACACCCCAGGGAAGAAAAGAAAGGTTTTCCTGCAGACATCACACAAAAACCTTTTTCAGAGTGTCTAGTATAATTAGGCTACAGTTAACTTCATACTCATCCAGAAAGTCTAAAAGGTAACACAACTCATGGCAGGGTGGGAGCCTAGGCTGCAGATCCGGGTGAACCTTTTCGTACTGTATTCAAACACAGCCCCGAGAAAGGACAGGAAGTGTCTGGTATATAAAATATTTATACTATTTGCTAACCTAATACTCACTTGAGTCAAATTTTCCATTGAATTATCAGGCAGAAGGAATACTGAATTCTAGAATGGGAAGGGGCCAATAGAAATCAGCTTGTCTAGGTTGGGTATGGTGGCTCATGCCTATAATCCCAGCACTTTGGGAGGCTGAGGTGGGTGGATCGTCTGAGGTCAGGAGTTTGAGACCAGCCTGGCCAACAAGGTGAAACCCAGTCTCTACTAAAAATCCAAAAAATTAGCCAGGTGTGGTAGCGTGTGCCTGTAATCCCAACTACTTTGGGAGGCCTGAAGTCAGGAAGAATGCTTGAACTGGCGCGACAGAGGTTGTAGTGAGCCAGCACCCGTGGGCACTGCAGCCTGGGTGACAAGAGCGAAACTCTGTCTAAAAAAAAAAAAAAAAAAAGAGAAAAAAGATATCAGCTTTTCTAAACTCCTTATTTTAGAGATAAGAAAACTGGGGCACAGTGACGTTTCCAAGGCAATACAGTTCATCGATGGCAAAACTAAAATTAGAACTCTTAAAAAAAAAAAAAAAAGCTTATTAGAGAATGTTCTTAGGAAGACAAAATTTTTGTTTGTCATTAAAAAAAATTATGAGGCTGGGCATGGTGGCTCACGTCTGTAATCCTAGCACTTTGGGGGGCCAAGGCTGATAGACTGCTTGAGCTCAGGCGCTTGAGACCAGCTTAGACAACAAGGTAAAACCCCGTCTCTACAAAAAAATTAGCCAGGTGTGGTGGTGCATGCCTGTGGTCCCAGCTACTCGGGAGGCCAAGGTGGAAGGACTGACTGAGTCCAGCAGGTAGAGGCTGCAGTGAGCTGAGATGGCACTACTGCACTCCAGCCTGGGTGACAGAGTGAGACCCTGTCTCATGTTTTTTTCATGCTGTATAATAAAGGTAATATAAGAGGCTATAGAGTTTTAAACTTCTTTCTACTGAAATACTCTGAATACTACTGAAAACTACCGAAATACCAAAATAACACAATGTAATTTCTGCAATGCTAGAATAAAAAAATTTTTACATTTCTCTTCAAAAGTGATGAATAGTAACAGAAGATGTCATAAAAACGTGTTTTTTTTCCTATTCATTCGGTAGTATTACAGCCAGTATTTTTATCATCACAGGCCATAATTTTCACTTTATCCACTTTAAGTTCTATCACCTTTTGTAATTCAATATCATTGAATATAAAAGTCTACATATTATCACAGAATCTTTTTGTTTTTCTAAATTAATTTTTTTTTTTTTTTTGTAGAGACAGTGTCTTCCTATGTTGTCGAGGCTGGTCTTGAACTCCTCGCCTCAAGCGATCCTCCCGCCTTCACCTCCCAAAGTGCTGGGATGACAGGCATGAGCCACCATGCATGGCATATGGCAGAATCTGTATGTATTTAGAGAGCCACTGAAATCAACTCTGTTCCTAACCCTCTGAGCCAAAATGATGCGTTTATAGCCTTATCAAACTGAAGTAAAACTTGAAGGGCAAGTTGAGTGAACTGCTGAGATTGTATGACCTCATCGAGGCTCTCCTGAAGACTGTTTCCCAAAGTAGTACTTCTGTATAAGTGATATGACATGGCTTAGGAAGAAGAAATTGTTTTTCTCATTCAAGCTTGCCTTGATGTCTTGTGCTGAAGGCTTCCTGCCATGGAGCAGACAGAAGTGACCAGGAGCCCAGCAGGGGGTTCCTATATTCCTGACCACCACTTCAGCAGTCACAGAAACTACAGAGCTGAACCCAAGACTCTGGAGCTCTTAATATGCTCCCGTATTTTACTTTCACTTAACCATCCATAAATATACTGGCTAAAAATAAAGGGTCTATTATCTTAATCCGATGAAGTAAAATTCATCTGTTGGTAAATATAAAGGGCTGGTGGTTTTGAAGCAGGTATTTAAAATTATTTACATATTTTTTTTTGTGCAATCAACAACTCACCAGTACTTGATCATAAAAATGGTACATTCACCAGTACTGGATTATAAAATGCCTAGTTCTAATTCAACATTACACTTTTGGTCTAAAATGCAAATAAACAAGAGCTTCTTAATTATACTATTTAGCTGTCATCAGCTAGGCTCCATAGAAACTAAGCTCTGAGCAAGATGGAGGAGAAGCAGGAACTCCATCAGTCTAGACTCCTTGGCTCTGATACTCATACCCTTCCTACTGTCTTCTTTCCTGTCACGCACAAAAAGGTGGTCCTCATTAATTCAATTATTGGCAGTGTGGCACAGTAAAAGAGTATGAGCTCTGGAGTCAGAAAGACTGGGGTTCAAGTCTCAGTGCAGCTATTTACTAGCTAAGTAAGCTTAGCTCAGAGAAGTTAAATAATTGCAGATCATTTAACTTCTCTAAGCTTCTTAGTTACAATGATGGAGAAAATATTGATCTCATAATTTTGTTGAGAAAAACAATGAGGTAATATACTCAAAGTGCCTGGCACACAGAATTAATTATAGCTATTGTTATTACAAGTATACTCATCATCAAAACAGAATCTCATGAAGTCAATGGGCTGAATAAATCACTCTTGGCCAAGAGACTGGCCAGCCTTCCTGTAGTCTACAGGACTATATATAGTTTCAAGTTTGAATAAGAGGAGGTGATCTGTAAGTTATTAGTTAGTAGAAAGGAGAGATTTGCCAAATTCAGGCCAAGCTGAAAAGCAGTTTTCTGAGGATACATTTCCCAGGCACATAAAAGACAGAATCTCAGATCTCCAAGGGTTTACACTTCAAGGCTTCACTCTTGATGGCTACCAATTAGATGCTAAATTTGGAGGAGTTCCTTGCCCTCTCCTTACTCTGGCATGGCAACATTTGGCAGGAACTAGGAGCCTTATGTAACAGAGCTGCTTGTTGACTTGGGGCTAATTGGCGAGGTGGCCTGTCAAATCTGGCCAACCCCCAGCAGGTAGAAAGGGTAGGCTTTCCTCAGACCATGCTTCCACATGTGAAGTTTTTTTTTTTTTTTTTTTAAAAGAGATGGTGTCTTGCTCTGTTGCCCAGGCTGGAGAGCAGTGGTATGATTGCAGCTCACTATATCCTCAAACTACTGGGCTCAAGGGATCCTTCTGCCTCAGCCTACTAAGTAGCTGGGACTACAGGTGCACACTACTATGCCTGGCTAATTTTTAAGATTTTTTTTATAGAGACAGGATCCTGCCATCTTGCCCAGGCTCGTCTTGAACTCTTGGGTTCAAGCCATCCTTCCACCTTGGCCTCTCAGAGTGTTGGGATTAAAGGTGTGCATCATCGACCACATGTAAAGTTTAAAAGTACAGTGGAGAGGGAAAGAGGAAAAAGAGGATACTGCAATTCAGAAAGGGCCAATGCCAGAAATAAACTGCTCATCAGAGAAAAAAAAGTATGTATATATAATTTAAAAATTTAATTACAGTCGGGCGTGGTGATTCACGCCTATAATCCCAGCACTTTGGGAGGCCGAGGCGGGCGGATCACGAGGTCAGGAGATCGAGATCATCCTGGTTAACCCAGCGAAACCCCGTCTCTACTAAAAATACAAAAAATTAGCTGGGCGTGGCAGCGGGTGCCTGTAGTCCCAGCTACTCGGAAGGATGAGGCAGGAGAATGGCGTGAACCCGGGAGGCAGAGCTTGCAGTGAGTGGAGATTGCACCACTGTACTCCAGCCTGGGCGACAGAGCGAGACTATGTCTCAAAAACAAACAAGAAAATTTAATTACAAAAGAAAGATACACTCTTTCTGCTGAAAATTATGTAAAAATATTAGGATAGTTCTTACTATATCAGAATATGAGACACCTTAGTCTGTTTCTTAAAGTCTTCTCTAGTAACTTGACAACTTAAAATTCTTTAGCTTTCCCCCTCTAGGCAGCTCTCTAAACCACTTGCACTCAAATAATCAATGTGATACTTTCACCTGGACTCTTCTTTTTCCTCTAGAAAATACCTGAATACTTGTCCATTTTTCTTGGCATTAAACTTGTCAGGAGAAAAAAAAAAGCAGACTCTGGAATTTAAATATGTTCAGTATGATTCATTAATAGAAAGGTATGGGACAGACCACAGTGCAGCTTCTGTGTGGCAGTGTTAGGGCCCCAAATAGGGGAAAATCCTAGAATATGCTGAAAGCCCTGGCTAGCCCAAGAAAGGCTTCCTATTTATAGGATGGTGCTTGTTTCAGTAGGGTTGGAAGAGAAACTCTAAAGGGGAGGATAGGATTAAGCTAAAAAGGGTCAAGACACTGCCCAATGGGAGCTAAACACAGGATTTGCTGTCAGAGGGTCTTATCATTCTTTACCAGGCCTCATTTGCAGCCCATCAGACTTGACACCTGGACATCCCTATTCAACCTCTGATTCTCCCCCAAACACGGATTACCACAGACATGCCAAATACAACAGCATCTAACAGAAAAATTCTCTCCCTTCTGTTTCTTATTCAGCACATAATGCCTGAGCCAGTTTAGATTCATATTTCATAAAGCCTTAGCTGATTAATTCAGCATGGGGTGGAAAATACCTAGTCCGCATTTTGTTACACCCTGCACCTAGCAATCATTGCACTTCCCACTAACCCAGACACCGCTCTGAATCATCTCCAACACAGACAGGCATTACCAATAGCTGAGCTGCTATGCAGGGTAAAACTGGACTGCCATTCTTCAGCTAGGAATTCATTCATGTAATATAAACGAATTGCTTAAGCACTGACAAAAAAAAGCTCAAGCACTGACAACAGTGCCATGGGTTCACAGAAATGACTAAGATTCATTCCCTAATCTCTATGAGAAAGTAACTCAGTGGGGGCACCTCACTTTGTCTGTCTGATTGTAAGATGTAATAAATGCTAATAAAGGTTAGATGTATGAAATGGATTACAGCACAAAGAACAATTAGTTATGTCCAAGAGGTAATAGAGAGAGGGCGCCAGGGACAGTTTACGGATGTAACATAGAGGTGGTTCCTAGAGAGATATAGGAGTTTGGATAATGAAGAGGGAATGTGAGAGAGAACCTGGAGGGAAGAACACAAAAGGACGTTAGCATATGAAAATTCCATGTGAGCAGCACTGTGATGGTGGGCGAGGTGGGTACTTAATATGTATTCAAATGAACTGAAGCATGGAAGAAGGAGGTGGTGAGGGAGACTAGAGACAGATTATGAGACTGAAATTTATTTTGATGGCAAAGAGAACCCAACAGAATCAAACAAATCGTTGATCCTGTAGGTCTAAAATGTCTCCAAAGTGGGCAGAAATTATGTTTGTCCAACACGGTTTTGAAACCCTTCATACTGCACAGAGTTTCATCTTCAAGTACAGTCATAACTCTATGTCTGCTCTAGCTCCATATCCACGCTTTATGTATCAAACACAAGAAGACATCCTGCATAGCTACATAATTCTTTTTTTTTTTTGGAGATGGAGTCTCGCTCTTGCTGCCCGGGCTGGAGTAGTGCAATGGCGCGATCTCGGCTCACCACAACCTCTGCCTCCCGGGTTCAAGTGATTCTCCTGCCTGAGCCTCCCAAGTAGCTGGGATTACAGGCATGTGCCACCACGCCCAGGTAATTTTGTATTTTTAGTAGAGATGGGGTTTCTCCATGTTAGTCAGGCTGGTCTCGAACTCCTGACCTCAGGAGATCCACCCGCCTCGGCCTCCCAAAGTGCTGGAATTGCAGGCGCGAGCCACCACATCTGGCCAGCTACATCATTCTTTACTTTGCACCCAGTAATCCTTACCTGTCGGCTGAGCCAGCTGCTATTTTGCTTCCATCAGGTGACCAAGAACATCTCAGAAGGTTCTATGATAAATAAGAATCCACTGAATAGTAATATACTAAACTTCTCTTTGCAAGCCTGCAGAATCACTGAGAGGCTTTACATTTCCTAAGTAAAGTTTTAATTATTCTTCTCAGGAAGATGGTCAGTAATTATCTTATATTCTATGCCCAAAATAGCATACTTTGTTATTTTACACCATATAAAAACTGTAGAAAATGCTTAACTTACAGTTAATTAGATTGAATCTGACAACAAAATTTTGTTCTACTTATAAATGGAGGTTCCCTTTGCTCCATTTATCTTGATACTCATTATTCTTTTTTTTCCCCCTAACTATCTTTAAGAAAAATACACACAAACCCAACAAATAATAAATTTTGGGGTTTTTTTGTTTTTTTTTTTTTGAGACGGGGTCTTGCTCTGTTGTCCAAGCTGGAGTACAGTGGCACAATCATAGCTCACTGTAGTTTTGACCTTCTGGGCCCAAGTGATCCTCCCATTTCAGCCTCCCAAGCAGCTGAGACTGCAGGCACATGCCACCACAACCAGACTTTTTATATTTTGTAGAGACAGGGTCTCAGTATGCCGCCCTGACTGGTCTCTAACTCCTGACCTCCCACCTTGACTTCACAAAGTGCTGGGATTACAGCTGTGAGCCACCGTGCCAGGTCTAAAAAATAAAATTTGATTTATACAGTGAAACTGAATCTCAATGAGCTCTAAAAAAAAAAAAATTATCTCTATTAACAAATTCTCTCAGGGGAAAAGCTTCTTTCAATAGAGCTGACCTTGAAATTTGAGGGTTTGAAAAAAATTTTCTCTCTCAGAACTTGGGCCGTGGTAGTTAGTGAGGGGAGAGATGTATTCTTAGGATTCTAAAACACGTGGTCACAGGATGGGGAGGCAGGTAGGGAGACCATCCGGGTAACAGCTATGGGAGCTTGGGTTCCATATGGAAAACTGATTTAGGAGGGTAAAATTTACAAGTAATTAAAAGGCCAGGAGTGTCCTGTTGAGGGTGGTGTCAAGTCAGATGCCCTCAGTTTGAGGGCTGGCTCCATTCCTTTTGGGCTATGTGACTGGCTTCTCCCCAGTCACTATTATTTCTATTAGCTTTATTTTTGGCAACAAGTTTTGATTAAGAGCAGTGTTATAGGAATGAAGTCCATTCTTAGCAGAGCTACTGCTCTCTATCCTTAGTACCACCTTAAATGTTTCTCTGAAGTAAATGAACAGTAAAACTCCTCTGCCAAGCAGAACTCACCTTTTCAAAGTTGTGCACATTTCCTTGAAATATCTTTACACACCTCTCTTTGGGGGCAAATGGCCGGACATCCCAGACACGAACTGCAAAACAAATCCAAATAAACAAACCAACCAAAACAACTATCGGTCAGAGGCCTCGTGGGCACCCAGCTGAAATTAGTATCATGTCAATCAATGACAGATGCTGTTTCCTGGATAGGTGAAGTCCAACACGACACACTGCTACCTGTTAAGGCTCTTCTCTTTTTCAAGCAGGAAAATACATCTAAATCCCAATAACTGGGGCTAGCTGAGGAGGCAGGAAGGAAAAATGTCACACTCAATGTTGGTAATTTACAACAGAATGCAGTTGGGTGTGATACTAATTTCAAAAAGATACTTTGCAAGATTTCTCTGCCAGCTTAGAGTCACATCCAGCAAAGCTTCAATGTGACAAACTAAATACCATGAACTACTGTGACAATGAACTTATAAAAACCAACCTTACATTGCCCTTTCCTAATTTCCCTCATATAGGCACCTGAGAGTCTAAAACTGAACAAGGTCAGATATATATATAAAATATATAAAAGGTTAAATAAATCAAAAGAGCACTGTACCATACCAAAAATCAGAAAAAGTAAACATTGATTCTAATTCTAGCTCTGTTGCATATTTGGGTGATGTCAGGTAAACAGTGAGATTGTTTGTGTCTTGGTTTTCCTGTTCCGTAAAATGAAGAGAAAATTATCTGTCTTCTTTTTTAAATAATACTATTGACTGATTGATTGAGATGGAGTTTCGCTCTTCTTGCTCAGCCTGGAGTACAGTGGCGCAATCTTGGCTCACTGTAACCTCCGCCTCCTGGATTCAAGTGATTCTCCTGCCTCAGCCTCCCAAGTAGCTGGGATTACAGGCACCCACCACCACACCTGGCTAATTTTTGTATTTTTAGTAGA